GTCCAACCAAGTAAACACAGAGACTTATATTGCTTACAAACTGTATGGCCATGGCAGGCTTCTTGCTAACTGTTCTTATATCTTAAACTAACCCATTTCTATAAATCTGTACCTTGCCACGTGGCTCATGGCTTACCAGCATCTTCACATGCTGCTTGTCATGGCGGGTGCTGGCAGTATCTCCCTCTGCCTTCCTGTTCTCCCAATTCTCCTCTCTGTTAGTCCCACCTATGCTTCCTGCCTGGCCACTAGCCAATCAGTGTTTTATTTATTGACCAATCAGAGCAACACATTTGGCATACAGACCATCCAACAGCAGTGTGCAATGGGACAGGTGATAGTCAGCCTTGATTCATCTCCGTCATTTACACAACTTATCAGCAAGTCTGGTTCCACAGGCTGTACCCAGTCACCCCTCCCATTTCCACAGAATCTGTGATGCAGAAGCCAGGAGCCAGGCTCTTCCTGTACAGTGCCTCCGCTGCCTGCTGAGCCCCAGGTAGCTGAGGAGCAGACAGCTGACCTCTACCCCAGGACACCCGCAGCTCTGCAGTCCTGCGGGCAGCGGCCTGGGACTGAACACCCTGCCATCACCAGTTTCTCAAATCCTCCCTTTGGGGGGTCTCCATATTTCTCTTTACATAGACAGGGGCTGGCATCCTTTGATCTGTTTTGGGGTGTCTTATCTCACTAGATTTTAGGTAAATTGAAGACTGTGTGCTCCCATTTATTTATTCGCTCACTTAAGGTTTCTTGAGGGTCTGTGTAGCTCAGGCTGTCCTCAAACTTGCAATCTTCCTTCTAGGGCCTTCCCAGCCCTAGAACTACAGACATTATGTAATGCTTAAAATTAAAACAAAAAACAAAAAAACCCAAAAAACTACTTTGAAATTACTGTGCTGAGCAACACACTTGAAAAGAATTATTCTTCTATTTATACTGGTGACAAGTGCCAGTTCTAACAGATTGTATAGCTCAATATCATATCCCTCTCCTGATGGGAGACCAATGTCCTCAGTTTTCACTGCTATACTGGTAACCCGGTCTCAAAGATGCTTTGCATGTATGCCTGTTATGTGTACATGTGTGTGAGTATGTGTGTTTGTGTGTGGGTGTTCAGGCACATAGAGGCCACAGGTATGTCAGGTTTCTTCCTTGATCGCCCTATACCTCATTTTTTTTTTTTTTTTTTTAGACAAGCGTCTCTCAATGAACCTGGAAGTCAGTTTTGACTAGGCTGGCTGGCCAGTGAGTGCCAGGGATTAGCCTCTAAGTACCAGGACTACAGGCACTCACTCATGGACTCACCTGGCTTTTTATGTGGAGGCTGGGAGTCCTCCCAGGTCCATGCACACATAGCAAGCACTCTACTGACTGAGCCTCTCAGGGTTGCTTCTCGTAGACGATTCAGACCATGCCAAAGCCAGTCTACCTGACTTAATCCCAGGAAGCCGCTTTAACTGTGACCGGTTTTAAAAGTGGCCTCCAATCTTTGAAGTAAGCCTAGCTTTCAGGAAAACAACTGTTCCATTTTGGGGAGCAGCTCACAAATCTGCTTATTTTTAATGCCACAGCTACATTTACATGACATTATGCAATGGCCATCTGCCAAGAGAAACACGCTTTGGTATTAAATGCCAAGCACATTTGTATAATAACTCAATTATTAAATAGCAACGTTATTAACAGTTGCACGGTGAGCTGGAGAGACGGCTCTGTGGTTAAGAGCACTTAGTGCAAGCCTGGCATGGTGGTGCATGCTGCTAATTCCAGCACTTGTGAGGCAGATTCTACATAGAGAGTTCTAGAACAGCCAGGGCTACACAGAGAGACCCAGTCTCAAAAAGAAACAAAGGAGCAAACAGAGAAGCATACTCACTGCCCTTGAAGAGGACCCAGGTTCCCAGTACCCACATTGGGGGTTCACAACCATCTCTAACTCTTGAAGAGGACCCAGGTTCCCAGTACCCACACAGGGGATTCACAACAATCTCTAACTCCAGTTTCAGGGGATCTGGCTGTTGTAGAGTATTACTTTAAGATGTGTTTCATTTGTTTACACTGTCGAACATTTGTTTAATGATGCAAAGATGTACTGCACTCTTTTATTATGTTGCATTTGTTAACTTTGTGAAGCTGTGTTACTGTGCCTGTCTAAAATGTGATTAGTCTAATCAAGAGCTGAACAGCCAATAGCAAGGCAGGAGGAAGGATAGGTGGGACTGGCAGGCAGAGAGAATACATAGAAAGAGGAAAAGAAAGAAAGAGAGATCAAGGAGCAAGAGAAGAAGGATGCAAGGGGCTGGCCACACAGCCAGACAGAGTAAGAGAAAGTAAGATTGCAGAAGTTACGAGGATAAAAGCCCAGAGGCAAAAGGTAGATGGGATAATTTAAAAAAAAGCTGGCTAGAAACAAGCCAAGCTAAGGCCGGGCATGCATAAGCAATAATAAGCCTCCAGTGTGTGATGTATTTGGGAGCTGGGTGACAGGCCCCCAAAAGAGTGAAAAAACAACATCCAGCACCCTCTTCTGGCCCCCACAGGCACGGCATACATGTGGTACACAGACATACATGCAGGCAAAACAGTCACACACAAAAAGTAAAAATAAATTTTAAAACAACAAAATGCATGGAAGCACACAGGCTTATTCTTTCCTATTTTGCGTCCCATTTGACGGTTTCTACTGCTCTAAAGTAAACAAAACTCTTCCCTCACAGTGTTAACTATGGGACTGACATGAAAAGCAACCTCTCACCGATTAGTACTGCAACTGAACACAAACAAAAAAACAGTTTTCACTGAAAAAGAAATGCTTTATGGTCCCGACCTCTCATTCATGGAAACCAGTTTTGGATTTTTTTTTTTAGCATATTATTTCTTTCTTTTCTTTTCTTTCTTTCTTTCTTTTTTCTTTTCTTTTTTTTCTTTCTTTCTTTTTTTTTTTTTTTTTTGGTTTTTCGAGACAGGGTTTCTCTGTGTAGCTTTGCGCCTTTCCTGGAATTCGCTTTGGAGACCAGGCTGGCCTCGAACTCACAGAGATCCGCCTGCCTCTGCCTCCCGAGTGCTGGGATTAAAGGCTTGCGCCACCACCGCCCGGCTCGGTTTTGGATTTTATTCCACCCCATCTCCACACAAAATAAATGTAATTGAAAAAAAAAAAACCCACCAAATCTTCAGCCCTAAAACACTTGGTAATTACAAACAAATGGTGAAGGGATACTTCACGAGTCAGAAGTTAAGGGCTGTGAGGCTTCAGTCACAGAACGGCTCCTTCCTTAAAGTGTGGAGGCTTTAATTACAGGCTGCGGCTGGGGTGCCACAGCTTGCTCTGATTGCTCAGCATCTTAGACTATCTGGACAGTGAAGAACTACATCAGCAGGAAGAGCACCGCTCACAGAGCAATTCACGTGTGCAGGAGGCGAGAGATGCCCAGTCCACGGTGGAGCGGAGTGATGTGAACCAGTGTCACGTGACTGATTCAGATCATTTGATCAGCCCATTTCCCCCAACAGTGTTCCACGCTTCCTAACCTACACACGAGCAAATTAGAAACCGACTAAATGGAGGAGCGCTAGGGTCAATTTTAAGGCAACAGAAACCTCCTCAAATATAATTTATAGCCATTTAAAAACAGAAAAAGTTAAAAAAAAATTTTATTATTGGTATATGTGGGGTATACTTGTAACAGTGAACATCTGGAGATCAGAGGACAACTTGAGGGAGTCGGTTCTCTCCCTTAAAAAAAATTTGTTTTTAAAGATTTATGTGCATGAGTGTTTTGCCTGCACTTATGTATGTACAATGCTTGCACGCTGGTTCCCACAGAAGTAAGAAGAGGGTGTCAGAGCCCCCTGGAACTGTTATGATGGATGGTATGAATGGTTATGAGCCGTCAAGTGGGTGCTGGGAACTGAACCCAGTCCTCTGCAAGAGCAACAAGCCCTCTTAATTCTGAGCCGTCTCCCAGACCCCAGTTCATTCCTGCCGTGTTGGCTCTGGGGACTGGACTCAGGACCCCAGTTCATTCCTGCCGTGTTGGCTCTGGGGACTGGACTCAGGTTGTCAGCCTTTACTCACTGCGCCACCTTGCTGGTTTGTAATTAAAAAAAATAAATAATTTGTGTGTGTGTGTGTGTGTGTGTGTGTGTGTGTGTGTGTGTGTGTGAACACGGGTGGGTCAATGTGTGTCATGGCGAGTGTATGGAAGTCAGAGGGCCCCTGGCAGGAGCTGGTTCCCTCCTTGCCCCATGTGGGTCCCTGGGATTAAACTCAGGTTATTAGTGGCTTGACTCACTGAACCTCCCCTGTAGCTCTTGGTTACCAATGAAAAAGCAAAATATTACAAAAAAGCGCAAGTATATATGATCTCCTTAATACTTCTGTTGAATGGCTAAAATAAAGCCAGAGCTAGCTACCTTTTCAATAGGATTTACTTAATTTACCTTGGTGGGGTACGTGGGGAGCCACATCCCCAGCCCACGTAGTTCTAACAGGAGTTCCCACAACACGAGCGAGCATGTATGGGAGAAACAAGGATTTGAATATCCCACCGTTCGTAGCCATCACAAAGAGTTCTGGGGTCTAAAGCCCAGACCAGTCAATAGTAACCTGCACTCTCTCAGCGGAGGCTCTGCTCTTAGCTGAAATGTCTGAGTCTCGCTGTACTCACTGTAAACCAGGCACAGTTCCAGCCCATTTATCACCACTCAAGATCACAGAGCCTCATGGCAGCATGGTTACTATGGTTTCACTTTCTGCAGCAGGCTTGATCTGCTAGCCTGCTTGCTTCCTAGCCCATGACCATTTTTTGATTTTTTTTTAAGACAGGGTCCCATGTAGACCCGTGTAGCCTCAGCCTTTTGATTCTCTTGCCTCAGTTTCTCACCTGCCGAGGCTACGGGCGTGTGTTTCCATGTCTAGCTTTGTGTCACGTTATTAAATGGTTAGTGCACTTCAGAGACTGAACTTTTATTATGAAAACATCCACAAGCTAAAATGGATATTTAAAATCTTTATTGTCTCATCATCAAAAGTTTTCTTTCTCTCCACAGCAGAATGGCAATGTTGTGTTGGTGCATATTTATGAAAAACTCTTTTAAGTAACTAGCCTAGAAACCAGAGATGGGACTGTGAAGCCAGTGTCCTGGTCAGACACACAATGCTGCTGATGAAATTAGTACCCAGAAAGAATGCAACTGCTAGAAAAGGAGTCTATGGCCACGCACACAGCATTGTATTTGTGAAGGAACAGAAAAATGGGGAAGGACCTGAGAAGGAGCCTCCCACTCCATCCTGATCACTGGCACAGTTCTGACCGTGTGTACACACACACACACCTCCATCAGCATTACTCAGTGAGCCACATTTGGTCTAACCCACAAATGGCACAGCCACACTGCTTCCCATCTCACAGCCAGCGGTAATCCAACATGGGTTAGGTCAAACAAAACAAAATCAAAACTGCAGCTTTGGGCATCTATAAGTAAAAAGCTGAACAAATTTCGTATGTGGTCCCATTTTCCTTTTTGAGAAATAAAACCCCAGAAAACAACAAAAGACAGTTGTCATGGTTACTCATTTTCAGCTAAAGGCAGAACACTTCTCTTTATATAAGCAGGCTGAAGAAACATACAAATGTCCTCACAAAATACTGTCGGATCAATGCGAACATTTTCATAACCAGCTCTTGAGTTACGTACTGAGAATCGAGGATGCGAAGGACCGCTACGGTTTGGTCATGCCTGGCCACTTTGGGAAGTTTTTGGTCGGGTTTGAGTTTGAAGCTGTGACACAGCTGGATTTGGCTACTCTGTATTAATTCACACAATAAATACCTTTACAACAGCACATCTATGGTGATGAAACGAGACCTCAACTAAGAGGTATCAGGAAGCCTGTCTTTAGTGTTTTTGAAATACACACCCTCTAACCTCTGTCCATCCCTGGGTTATCTGCAAGACTAACAAGTCACTTGTGAATCGAGTCCAAGGCCTTGAGGGGGAGGGGGCACTCTGAATGTATGGCGTAGCAATCGTTTTCCTAGTAGTCAAACATTTCTAGATGCTATTAAACTATATTTGAAAAGATCTCTGACAATATATACAATGTACAAAATAAGTTAAGAGGAGGAAGCGGGGGAGTTTTTGAGTCTCTACAATGCAAACACACGACTGTCCCATGCATGTCCATGTCACCCTCCGAACCACAAGAGGCTGACAGAAGCTCAGACTTTGTCACTTATAAACAGAAGCGGCATTCACATGGCCGAATCTCAGCTTTGCTGCGTCCCACACAGCAACTCACTTGCTTTGACTGCAATACACACAGATATAAACTGCACCCCCAGACTCGTTTTATACTTGTACCTCAAAGTTTAACATAAATTCTAACGACTGAGGAGACAAGCACTCTTTTGTAGCCATTCCATAAAATAATTTTCAATTCACAAAACACCTGTCTACTCATAAAACCAGCAACCCTTATGGAGGGCATGGGCAATATTACTCGGCCCCCCCTGAGGTATAAATGCGGCTATCTGTGCACTGAGTAAATAGTGGATAAGGTATGTCAACGCTCTGGATGGTTGCGTTCACCTGGGAGTGATGGCATCCTGACTGAATGGAAACTAACTTATATATATATATATTTATTTATAATGGAGATTAACTGATTTTTAGAGAAAATATGTAGTTTAGCCCATAATACAGCCAGAAGTTCTGAATTCCTAAACCAATGCAAATGGTTATTACATCTTAAAAAGGTTTGACATTGCATACTGATTTAAAAACAACGGAATGGGGAAAACACGTAGGTATTTTAGATTCAGCAGGACACCATGGAAAGCAGTCTAGAGAAGTGGGAAACCAGTGAAGCTTTTCCAAAAGAGAAAATCCTTTTAATCCTTAGCAAGTCCCCGTGGAAACAGTAGGCGTACAAGAGTGAGAAGGGAGCACGTGGGACACCCCCGGGGGGCTCGCTACACAACTCAGCGTCCCGGTCCCCATCTCCCGGGCTTGGGCTTGGACGGCCAGCAGGCGACAGAAGTCCATGTGACAACAGTCCGTAGCTCTTCTCACCACTGCTGCCAGCTGAAGTCGTCGTTGCTCCCGAAGACCAGGAAGAAGCCCAGAATGGTGGCGAAGATGACTGTATTTCCCGTGAGGACGAGTGCGCAGGCTCCCCACTTGATCTGCGGAAGGAAGGGAGCAACAGTCAGCCGGTGCGCAAGGCGGGGGCTGCGGGGGCCACGGGGAGCCACGGGCAGCCATGCAACGCTCTGTGCGCTGGCCAATCACCATCTAGCTTGTAATGGCCATCGAGGTACAGCGCTCAACACTCTCCTACAGTGTTTTCATTTGCACTGATTGATTGAAAAGTTGAGAGTAAGGGGGTGATCATTATTGCGGAACAAGCTTAGCTTTGATCATGACCATCAGAGCTTCATCTGGCTCTGTCTGCAGTTCTGAGGGTCCACCCCAGGGCCCTGTGCATTTAGGGTGCACCCTGCCCCTGAGGTGGGTCCCTAGGACCACACAGGATTCTACAGCTACTGCTTAAAAGGAAGCTGATTTTTCTTAGTGAGTCTAAGAATCTTGCTAGGGGCAGAGACGGAACCCTAAGCGCCGGGGATGAAAACATACCGTGCTTTCTCTGGAAGGGGCAGAGTGCGGAACTGCCGCCGTCACACCTGAAGTGTGGCTCTGCTCTTTCTCCTTGTTCACACTTTCCCAGATGCAGAGAACGACTGACTCACACTTCCATGCTTTAGGTCAGTGGTTCTCAACCTGGGGGACAGGACGCCCTGGAAGTTGTCCAACAACCCTTTCAAGTGGGTGGCATATCAGACATTTACATTACGGTTCATAACAGCAGCAAAACTACAGTTAGGAAGGGGCAACGAAATAATGTTGTGGTTGGGGGGGTCACTACAGCATGAGGAACTGTATTAAGGGGTGGCAGCATTAGAAGGTTGAGGACCACTGCAAAAAGGGCAGGCGCACGGTGCTCAGCCCTGGTGAGTGGGTTAAGGTGCCATTTCTCCTGCAGACCCAAGCCTCGCCCTCCAACAGTTTCACCCCGAGAGCTGAGGTTTAAACCTGTCCTCTCCATCCTAATGCCTCACGTCTTTTTATTTATTTATTTATTTATTTATTTATTTATTTATTTATTTATTTATTTTATTTTATTTTATTTTATTTTTTTACGTGACGGAGCTTGGAAGAAAAAACAATGGACAACGGTCTGATAGAGAAACGTTCGCAGGTTAGGGCAGCTCACCAGATTTGCTCTGGCGAATACAACGGGCAGCCCAAAGGCCGAGACGACGACGCCCGTCGTGAGGAATATGGCGAGCTCCTTGCAGGCGCTGCTCATGGCGTCCGTGTCGTCCACCAGCCTTCTGGCTACGCAGTACGGGATGGGCGAGAGGACGTAAAAGAAGAGGACGAAGAGGGGCCAGTATTCGCTGGAAAAGAAAGAGGGGTCAATGCAGGTCTGGTCGGCCCCGACCCTTCCCAACACACCAACTACACTCTTGTTTAAAGACCAAAGGACGGCGACAGGGTGTCAACCAGGCTGCAGCGCAAACACAGCCACCAGCTCATGTGGGAATTTCAGTCAGTTTACCCCTGTATTCCATTATGGCGCACTATGGAAAAGGTCTGCTGACAAAATGCTTTATGAAAGAATAGCCAAAATGTAAAAAAACAAAAACAAAACCCCAAAAACCCACTTTAGCTTAATAAGGAGGCATACTGAAAATAAGAATATTGACACAGAAACTTTTAAAATTAAAGGTCCATGCTATGGATGACATCCTACCTCATCATAATGTTAAAAAACACCCACGCTTCCTTTAATTGAAACCAAAATACAGGGCACTAACTGAAAACAGTACTGTACAACATGGTTTTTAGTTCGCTGTTAACCAGGGTGTGCTGATTTCATTCCATGGCTTTGGGAACTGTGGTGGTGGGGGGGTAGGGTGGGGAGCTGTGTGAAGGGGACAGACAAACTCCTTCCACCTCTTTGTCATGATTTAACAGTATATTAAAAAAATTACAAGAAACAAATGGCCTTTAAAATTGACAAGCTTAAGCACACACACAGTGGAGATCTGCTGGAGCTATCTGTTATAGTTTCTTCTTTTGAAAAAGATTTATTTTTATGTATTTTGCATGAATATGGGCATTCAATACCCAAGAGGCCAGAAGAGGGTGTCATATGCCCTGGAACTGGAGTTACAGAGGAATGGGAGGCACCATGTGGGTGTTGGGAACCGAACCCGGGTCCTCTGAAAGAGCAGCCAGTGCTCTTAAGCTCTGAGCCGTCTCTCCAGCCCGTTATCTTTTTCTTAATCTTTCCCTAAGCATTTTAAGAGAGCAAAGTTTTTTTAAGAGGAATATGTGCTTAAGAAAAAAAATTCACTGGGCAGTGGTGGGGCACGCCTTTAATCCCAGCACTCGGGAGGCAGAGGCAGGTGGATCTCTGTGAGTTTGAGGCCAGCCTGGGTTACCAAGTGAGTTCAAAGAAAGGTGCAAAGCTACACAGAGAAAACTTGTCTCGAAAAACCAAAAGAAGAACAAAAAAAATTCAAACAATACAGATATACAAAAAATTAAGACCAGAAGCTTTTCCAACCCCTGCTTTTTTTTATTTTATTTTTGTTCCTTTTTTAAAAATCTTTCTAAGGAGCTTCTTGTGGACCCTCTACAATCCATACAAATTTAACCAAGGTAAAACTATATAACAGCATTTACAGATTTACAGCCCTTCCTCATTCCTTAAGGTAAATTAATACTGTCATTCAAGGATCCACGATCATTTGTTTTTGGGTATGTGTATGTTTGTATGGGCGCATTAGTGGGTGTGCATGGGTGCTGGTCTGAAGGTCAGGGGACAACCTTGGTATGTGTATGTTTGTATGGGTGCATTAGTGTGTGTGCATGGGTGTGCATGGTCTGGTCTGAAGGTCAGGGAACAACCTTGGGCGCTGTTCCTCCTCAGCACTGTCCACTTCTATTTGAGACAGGGTCTCTCACCGGCCTGGGGCCTGCCAATCAGGCCAGGCTGTCCCCCCTCCCTAGCACTGGGATTACAAACACGGAACGCGATGCTCTGCTTTGGCACATGGGTTTGGAAATCAGTCCTCACACTTATACAACGAGCACTTTGCTTTTTTACATGTTACTCTCTCCAGCCTCTGCATTTTAAGTGTGTGTGTGTGTGTGTGTGTGTGTGTGTGTGTGTGTGTGTGTATGTGGGTGCTCATGTGCCACAGTGTGTGGATGTCAGAGAACAATCGTGGGTGTGAATTCTTACCTACCACATGGTCTGAGACAGGGTCTCTGTTCGCTGTTGTGTATACCAGGCTATCTTGGCTTGCAAAGCTTACAGGGTCCGTCTCATCCAGGAACACTGGGGTTACAGACACATGCTACACTCAGCTGTTACATGGGTTCTGGGGATTTGAACTCAGGTCCTCACAAAATGCCCATAATTTAGCTTGGGATGGGCATTAGTGATGTCACCAGTTTTCCATTTCTGCTATTACAGGCATGGCAGCTGTGAACAGCAATATTCTTAGCCAATTACACGTACCTTTGCAAGTGTTTGCAAGTGGATTTGTATGAGGATTTCTAAGAAGGGGAGGGCCAGTTCCATGAACTACAAGATATAGGCAAACTAGTTCAACTAGTTCCAAGAAACAGCAACTACTCGCTTCCTAACCCCTGGCCGAGACTTAGTCCCTGCGGGTACCTAGCAGCGCCTGTCCGCCCGCACCCTTTATCTTCAACGGTAGAGACCACGTAGCATTGAGTGGGATTTAGGATGATTTCATGTGCTTGTCAGCGACACAATCCTCTCTCCGTGTCTGTGGTCCACTTCTACTCATTTGTATTTTTAAAACTAAGTTAATTAAATATTAATTTTAAAAGTTTTCTCAACTGGACATGGTGATGAATACCTGGAATTCTGGAACTTGGGAGACTGGGGCAGGCAGACTGTGAGTGAGGTCAGCCTGGGCTACGCAGTGAGACAATGTCTCAACAGAAAGAAGTTCTTTCTATTTCAGGGAAAGGAATCACCGACACCGTGTCTTGAGTCAGCTGTGTTCAGAAGCCGCCTATGTTATTTTCTGTAATAAGATGTTTTAGATTGTGTTTGAGCATTATTGATGGGCAGTAGGGCTGACCTGCTGTCACCAGGCCATTACAGAAGCAGGTCATGGCCAAAAATGTCTCTGCCTTGGCATTCTAGTATCTTCACAGTGATGATTTTCAGAAGAGGATTGGATTTGGTAAATGAACATTTCCCGGCATTACTTGTATAATAGAAAACAAGCATGCTAAAACTTTAAAAGCAGGAGAATTTTACCCTTACACACTCAAAGAGGAAAAACAAAACCATTACGTACTTGTATATTGGAAGGGCACATCCAAGCATCAAAAACATCAGCCCGATTGCTCCTCCAAACGACAAGCTAATTAGAGCTGTAAAAGATACAAAAGCCCAGAGAGCGTGATCAGTTAGAGTGTGGTTCACCCCACGCCAGTCTGAGCACCACATGGACCCCAGAAGCGAAACACACTCTGCCTCCCCTCTAGATTTGGGCTGCTAAAAGTGAACCATGCCACACTGGGAGGAGTGGCTCATGCCTGGTAATCTCGGAGGCAGGAGGATTATAAAGGTCAGCGTGAGCTACATCTTGATCTCAAAAAAAAAAAAAAAAAAGAAAAGAAAAGAAAAGAAAAGAAACAAAATGTGAACTGTCTTCAAAACTGCCATTACACCGTTTCAGAACAAGCTTCTCTGGCATCCTCAAAACAGAACAAAAGTGTTAGAGGTTGAGCACCCTCCTTAACCCTTTGAAAGGCTCTGAAATAGGAACGTCAGCCAGGCCCGGTGACATGGGACTTTCATCCCATCTCTAGGGAGGGAGAGGGAGGTGGAACTCTGGTCTACATAATGAGTTCTGGGACAGCCAGGGATACATAGTGAAACCCTGTCTCAAACAAGCCCCGCCCCCATTGTATATATTCAAATATTACCAAATCTGGGGAAATCCAAGAGCTGAAACACATTTGGTTCTAAAAACTCCCAATAAGGAACACTTAACCCGAATATCAGTTTAGACCTACTGCTAACACACACCATATACTCCAATGACCAGTTCCATTTCTCAGGACCACTGAGGCACGCGGAATTAACGTGCCCCCTCCCAAACATTTTATTTAATCCACACGAGTGAAGCACTTGCCACACAAGACTGATGCCACACAAGACCCATGACCCAAGGTCAATTCCTGGACTCCACCGAGAAGTTGAAGGATAAAAAATCAACTCGATAAAGTTGTCCTCTGACCTCCACAGGCACCGCACACAATAAGGAAGGAGGGAGGGGAGCCGGGCATAAGAGCCTCACCAAAACAGAAACCCAAAGGGAAGGGGGGGGGCAAAAAGGGGGGGGGGAGGGAGGGAGGGAGGAAGGGAGGGAGGGAGGGAAGAGTCTCACCTGAACAGAAATAAAAAAGCACAGAACTGAGAGATAAGTTGTCCAAGGGTATGTGTGGTTAATTTATGATGATGTGGTTTTTCTTTTTCATTATTTTTAGACAGGGGCTCACTGTATAGCCCTGACTGGCCTGGACTTTGCTATGTATGTAGACCAGGCTGTCCTCAAACACACAGGTATCCACCTGCCTCTGCCTCTTAAGTGTTGTTATTGTTATTTTTTTTTTAAGGAAGTGAAAGAGTTACTGTATAGACTTCACAGTAACAACTTGTCTACAGTTAATTACTGTAATCAATTTTGTTAGTCTTTTTAAAATACCTGACTTTAAGTTTTTTTAAACAATGTATTTATTTTTATTTTATGTGTTTTGCCTGCATGTGCATCTGTAAGGGCATTGAATCCCCTGGAACTGGAGTTACAGGCAGTTGTGAGCTGCCGTGTAGATGCTGGCAGTTGAAACTGGGTCCCCCGGAAGAGTAATCAGTGCTCCCAACCGCTGAGCCATCTCTCCAGCCCCGATTTTGTTTGTCTTTAAACATGGTACAGAAGCACAGTTATTTTGTTCGCGATTTCCCAAATCCGAGGAAATCTGTAGGGTAACAGTCCAGCCCGACGTGGACGTGGTACCACTGTCTTAGCACAGAAGGAGGTGGAGGCGTCCTATAGTCAGATGCACTTCTGAAGCTCCCCACACATGGCTGGTGTATTTTAAAGTGAGCAATGACTTTATCATATATAATCAACGACCTAGATTTCAACCAAGAGAAAAACAACCTATTTAACTTGTACATTGCCTGCGTTTCTGCATCCCCAGTGGCTAAGAAAATGAGGTGGTAAGATTACATTTCTTATCTGGATTTATTTATTTCACGTGTGTCCTTGTGCAGGTCAGAGGGCGTCTTGCAGGGGCTGTTCTTTTTTTTCCACCACATGGGTTCTGGGGACTGAACTTGGCCATCAGGTTTAGAGGCAAGCACTCTTTCTTACATGTTAAGCCATCTTACAGGCCCAGAAAGTAACTTTTTAAAAACTGGTACAGCCGGGGCTGGAGAGATGGCTCAGAGGTTAAGAGCACTGACTGCTCTTCCAGAAGCCCTGAGTTCAATTCCCAGCAACTCACAACCATCTGTAATAAGATTGGTTCCCCAAAAAACCACAAAAACTGGTATGGTCTAACCTTAACAGAAAAGTTAAAATCCAAAAGCTAAGTGAAAATCTAAAATTTCCCAAGTAGAAAAACTACAGCATACAAATAAAAATTAGTGGTGAGGGGTCAGACACCACTTAATACTACGGACAAGATGGCCGTTGACATTGTCTTGGCCAACTGGGAGTTGGCTGGGATGCTGAATACAACATGAGTCAGGTTGCCATGACACAGTGTACTCAGTTATTAACGTCATTATATTTTACATTTCCAGTGACCGTGGGGGAAAGGCAAAGATGTGTTCGTGTTGTTTTAAACAGAGACAGCCTTTCAGGTTTACAGGGAATGCAGTGACTACAGGAGAACCCTGAGTTCCCCTTTTGGCCCTCATGGACCTGTCTACAGTCCCTGCCTGGATCACACAGGCAGTCACGTCCTCTTGGCTTCTTAGACCACTCTTTTCTATTCTGGATACCGGCGGCTACTTCACCTACAAGGCCTCTGTGCATGTTTAGCGTCCTACCTCAGAGTTTTCTTTCACTCAGGAAATCGTGACAGAGTCAAGCATACATCGGGATCTCCCTGGCTCCCGTAAACCCCCGGAGTCCGTGTTCCCGACCTGCTCTGTCTCTCTTCTCATTTATTACTGCTTTTCCTTCACATCTCAGCTCAAGCATCTCAGAGCCGCACCAACTCTGCTACTGTATTTATGACTTATTCGTTTACGGAGGGGCTAGGGACCAGCTCCGTGGTACAGTGCTTGCCCGGTGTACACGAGGCTCTGGATTCAACCACCAAGGCTCTGCTGCATGAATAAGCAACACTCATTTACTCATACAACAAACACACGAAGCACTCAATGGTGCCACATGTCCCTGCTTCTGAAGACATAGCAACGAGGCGGGAGGAAAAATGCTTTCACTTTCATGGTGCGTGCATTCTAGTGGGAGAATTAAGCAGGCTTTTAAATCATCCCATTTTACTTACTGGGTGCTTGCTATCTGTGTGCACATGCTGATGAGCCACCTGGCCAGCCTGTAAAATAACGAATGACCGAGTGTGGTGGTGCACTCTGGTAATCCCTGCCTTGGGAGGTGGAAGCAGGGGGGACTGGATGTTTAAGGCCAGCTTCGATTATATACTGAGTTGGAGTTTAGGGCCAGCCTGGGCTTCTTGAAACCCTACCTCAAAAATGAATAAATCAATAAGCAAGCAAACAATGAGTCTGCATCGATTTTATGGCTGCCAAGTCTGCCTTCTCGCCTCCTCATTTTCACTTTCTTAACTGTTTTGTCCTCTGAACAGGATTATGTGTCCACGGGCATTATTTATGGTCTCTTGCAAGAACGGGAGCCCTCTAAGGATGAATTTCTGTTCTATTTATCTCTGTATCCTCAGGGTTTTGTGTAGAAGCCGGCATACAGTGGGTGCTCGGTGAACACCTAAGAAGGGATTAAGGAGAAAGTGAGAGACGACCGTTCTGTTTGCTCAGTAAACGTGAATTCTGGAAGCAGCGAAAGATTTAGAAAACAAATGGCCAGAGATGAGTAGAAGCAGGCAGGGGAAGGGTGGGGACGCAGGTGGCCTGAGAAGGCGTGTCTGACGAGCCAGCGACAGAGCAGAGTCAAGGGAAGACGTCAGATGTGCAGGTGTGTGCCGGGGCTTCAGCTGCATGTGGGTCCCTGCCCGGTCACCACAGCTGCCATTCCCAATCGGGTCCTGTCATCTTCCCTTCCCAAGAGTTCCTCTTCTGTTCCTGTCATCTTCCCTTCCCAAGTGTTGCTCTTCTGTTCCTGACACCACGGCCCAGCTTTAGCACTCAGTAACAACTGTGGAATGAACGTAGCCGGTGGAGCACAGAACAGGGGAGGGAGGAGGCCAACATCACGGAGTCCGGGCCTCTGCTGGCCACAAGCTGGGTACCTCAATAACTTGTCTAACTTGGTTGTTCTTTCTAGAAATGAGGACTGTATAGAAAAAGCAAGCGAGTCTCTAAAACACTGGAGAGACTATTAAAAAAGACATTCTGGCCGGGCGATGGCGGCACATGCCTTTAATCCCAGCACTTGGGAGGCAGAGCCAGGTGGATCTCTGTGAGTTCGAGGCCAGCTTGGACTACCAAGTGAGTTCCAGGAAAGGTGCAAAGCTACACAGGGAAACCCTGTCTCGAAAAACCAAAAAAAGTAAAAATAAAATAAATAAATAAATAAAAAAGACATTCTGAAGAAAAACGACCTCTACTCTTGGAAATGCAGCCAGCAAACAGCGAAGTTCACCACTGTAAATACTATGTAGAGGCCGGGCGGTGGTGGCGCACGCGTTTAATCCAGCACTTGGGAGGCAGAGGCAGGTGGATCTCTGTGAGTTCAAGGCCAGCCTGGACTACCAAGTGAGTTCCAGGGAAGGCACAAAGCTACACAGAGAAAACCCTGTCTCGAAAAACCAAAAAAAAAAATTAAAAAAAAAAAAATACTATGTAGAGGACAGAGAATGTATCCAGAAATCATTTGGGGTAACCTGTTCTACTGGAGGAAGCAAACATCAGAGTTCAAGTTGATCGATGGACCACACAGCAAGCTTCAGGCTAGCCTGGGCTACATGAGACACCAACTAACCAACTTGTCGACAAACTACCACCATGACCACCATCAAAAACCCCCACTGTTTGAGACACCAAATAAAACAAAACCTAAAGCTAGGTATGGTGATCCACACTTAGCACTCGTCAGGGTGAGGCAAGAGGACTGAGGTGGAGGACAGCCCGTGCTACATAATTAGTCCCAGGCCTGGGCAGCCTACACATCAAGGTGATCTAAGGAAAGGGAAAGAAAAAGGATCACCCGTGCTTAGTTCTGTTTTTTTTTTTTTTTTCTCCCCCCGAGACACGGTTTCTCCATGTAGTTTTGTGCCTTTCCTGGATCT